ATTAGACAAGTTTTTTAGGATGTTTCAAATTCATGTTTTTTATGATGAATGAATTGGGAATGAGAATAAGCAAAAACATAACAAGGATAGCAGAGTATGATGTACTTGGTTATCAAATACCAGACCACACTGAAGAAATAGGGCAAATAAACTGACAAATGATGTTCAGAAATGCAAGGTTGAGTATATTAAAGAGAAAAGTCTTTAGCCTCTTTCTTAATTTTCAGGTTTATGGTCTCCAGAAAGGGACTTCTGAATGACTTTTGACAGTTCAGTGAAGGCCACTTTTAGATGTATAACCTCATCAGAAAGAAGGTGGGATGGGAAATGTTCTACTATTTTGTATATCAGTAATATGGATTTATATAGTGTGCTGAATTACAGGGATCCAGCAAGAGTGATGTCTGTGAATAAGGAAATGTAAACATCTCAGAAGAAAAAAAAATATAGAAGAGACCAGAATAATTTCATGTAGAAGGAGGAAAATAAGAGGAAGTCTGATGATAAAATATGTATGGAATGATGAATACTGTATTGAAGGCAGACCAAAACCTAACTATCATAGGTCTGATCCATCCTATCTAGTTTTGGATACTGACAGTAGGGATGTCTATAAGTGAAGTAGTCAGCCTGGGCTTCCATTACAGGTAGAGAAATAGGTGCTGTTAAGGAATGGTTCATCTGCCCTGCTGGCTTCTGTGGGTCAAAAGGTAACCCAGGGAGGGGAGGTCTGATGAACTTTGGTCATAGGAAACCCACATGTGCTTCTATAGACAAGAAATTGGTCACTGAATCAGAGATGTGAAGTTAAAACTTGGCTGGATAAGAAGATATTTTTTTACAGAACACCTTACCATGAAAGTAATTTTACACAGTGTTCTCTGGCATGCAGTGCCCAGGCTGGCAACAGTCATCATTGATTTGGGTGTAAAGATAGACAGAACAGGTTCTTTCAATATTATCACTCTTCATTCCGGGAAAAAAAAGCCCACCCCACAATTTCAGAGAAGACTTAAAAGGATGAATTTCAGGTAAAAGAGGCTGATTTCCCTAGCCTGCTTCCTCAGACAGAAAAATTCTCTCGAGAGCAGGGGGACTAAGCTTTGGCTCTGCAACAGCCTCCAGAGACACCTCTATTCCTGCTGATTGATTAGGGAGATCATTCTTCAGAGATTCAAACAGACTATAACTGGAAGGATGCACATGAATGCTTTTGAAGAGAAGATAATCCCAGGTTCAGTTTGCCTCTTGTCTTCCTCTGATATATCTAAAACTGGTTCTGGTGATCATCTGTGTTGTTTCTTTAAGAAAGTTTAGTTTACTTTAGTGTAAATATTTGTGCAGCTATTTTAGTTTTTGGAAGACAGATTTTCTAAAATACATAGTTGGAGTTTTGTTTGGTTTACCTTGTTTCAGAATTTTACAGGCACAAAAATGAGTCAGGCAGTAGGGTCTAGTAATGAGCAACTCCCTCCTAGCACAAAGAACAAGAAAAAGTTTGTCACTGCCCAGTGACACAGCATTCACATGATAGTGGAAATTACAAATTGCTTAATGGTGTTAGGGCAACCTCATTGTATTATCAGTGTGATTTTAAAATCTCCAGCGTTTCCTCAGTAATTTGGTCTCAGGTGATACATTGTGCTTCCCTGCATATTTTGTAACATTTTTCTGCCTTCTGTGAGCACTGACTTAACATTTAAAACAGTGCTGTCTTTGCCAAAGAGATATTTTTGTGATTTCCACATTTTTTATTTTGATTGCTGTATTAACATGATGTTTCCAATTCTGGGCTAAACTGAAGGATAAATAACACAGATGACACAAGAAGCTTCTGTTCACTTCACTGCTTAGAAGGAATTACTGGCCATTCTAGTTTTGCAGTGATCATAAGAGTAGCAACTTCCGTAATTTACATCACTTTTGACTCCTGTTTTCATTTTTGACTACCAAATTTTGAAAATTTCCAGATTTGGGTCTTCGTTCTGGCAAAGTCTCATTGCAGGAATGAGTAAGCATTTTGGGTTTTGGTCTGAGGACTCTGCCCTTGTAATGTTATCTTTGTTGATACGGAATTAATTTTCCACCTGAAATCAAGATCCTCTGCCTTTATCACATTATAATCCTCCCCACAGCAACCATTTGTGATACTGCAGGCAGATTATGACTTCAAGAGAAGAATAAGCTTCAGCAAACAGAAGCAGATGAGCTCTTAAAGAGATAAAGATCCCATTTTCCTGTTAGCAATAAACAGCAAAAGAGAAAAATATATAAAATGTCAAGGCGAAGCATTGTCTACAAACAGATTTTTCTAGGTCACAGGTGACTTTTTCATATTGAAACATAATACTTAATCAGTAAACCTTGGCATAGTTTGAGGTGAAGCCACTCAGTGAGACAGATTCACATTCTTAAATCCCTATCTGGCATGTGTTTCCGAGCACTTACAGAGCTGCTTAGCTTCTGTCAATGCTTCTGTTACATAAACATACTTTCCAGAAGAGTTTTATCTGGCTAATGGGAGTGTGGCGAGGGAGCAGCTGCAGTGCAGGGTATATCACAAGGCTTCAGCCAGTAGCCATCATGTGTGAATGAACAATAATGCATTTAGAAAATCTATTTTTATTTCAGAACTTAGAATATATTTGTTGGGTATTTCAGTCTCTTGAGGAATATTTTAATTTAGTATGGAATAATCCCTGATGCACACTAACATTTTTTCTAAAAGAAAATTTCCATGAGCAGTAAGCTCTGTAATAGTAGGCTCCCCGGTTTGTATTTTTCCCTGTTATCCTGAATAGTCCCTAGTATCACGTTGAATGATACATTGTAAGTATGTTAGCTATTTCACAGTGTAGAAACAAAATGAGGCAATAAGCTTTGCCATTGCAATAGTGTGGCAGAGTGTTTCACAGATCTACATCTCTGAATCTTTGGAGAGCTTCCTAAATCTGTGCAGATCTTCTGGTGCAGTGGCTTTCACTGTGCTGCTTGCTTTGGTTGATATGGATTCCATTATGATACAGGGTGTCAAAGTCTGTCCCTACCTGTAGTCTGAACAATTCTATTGCTTCAGTAGAGTAAGAGGGATCATAAAGAAAAGACTGAAGAAATTTTGTCCATACCTTTGCAATATACGTATTTCATAGCACTGAAAAGGCAATGCAGAAAGAACCGTGTCTCGCAGAATACACCATCTAAGGAGTCTTTCTGTTGTGCCTTTTGCAATCAGATATGTCTGTCATGTATTGGCCTCATAACCCACCAGCGTGCCTGTAGCAAACGTGGATAGTGCCTTCCCAAATCTTCGTTTGCAAAGCCCAGCCATGAAATTTCATAGCACTGTTGCACCACTATATGAACCTTCCAGACTGACTAAGTAAAGCTGGGCTCTATTCCTGTCCCTCTTCTCCAGTGTTCAGGAGTAGAAGGTTGTTACCTGGAATTTACTTCACCGTGTCACTTCACCTTTTCACATCATCTGTTGCATGCCATGTGTATCTGTAGCAATCACTAGCATGTGTATGTAAATATGTGTTTGTGTGTTTTGGCCATTTAAAGATATATTTACTTAATGGAGAACATCTTTAAATAATGAAGATACCTGTTTGTCTGTCTGAGTGTCCAGAACAGAGCGCTGCTGTCCTCCCTTGCAGTCTCATGAACATTAGACAAGTAAATCTCATTTTCACAGAGCCGTACATCTACTTTTGATTGCTTCAAAACAGCATTTTAGCATAACTTTGCTATGCCAATTTCTTAATTAAAACAACAACAAAAAAGGCAAAAACCTCCACAAAACACAAAAGCTAAGGGAATGGGGAAAAAACCCCGGCAGGTTTATATGGAAATGTATTGTTCCCACTAGTTTTCTGCTGGTAGGAATACAGGATATCTAGATTCACAATATAAATTTCTTGAGTTTTATCTAAAATCTAACCATGGAGAAGTTCGAATCTTTACATGGACCAGCCATTTCTGAATGTTGACTTTGTTACATAAGGACTTCAGCAGAGATATTTACCTAGAAGAAAAGAAGGTAGAAAATTAGGAATTGTTGCATCTATTCTTAGTTTTGAAAGGAAATGTAGCCTTTAAACTGCAGACTGTCACTAAGGGCATAGATTTGGCTCACTTAATCTGAAAGCTGATGTGACTAAATGAATGGATATTATGACCTGGCCAAGTTTAATATTAACCAATATTGTATTCAGTACAAATGATGCATGTCAGGCCCTGTGCATGCTCATGAGGGGACTCAATAAAATGAGAGAATTCTCATTGTAAATGCTCTGCAGGTAGCAATAGAGGGATAGCATGATACATGTTGCCATTAAAGGAATGAAATTCTATAAGGCCATGAACCGTTTTGGATGTTGCTCAGAGGTTTTCTCAGCAAGCCTCTGAAAAGCATTTCTGAAGGGCAGCTTTTCCTGAGTTTATTAATTTGGCCAAATATATCTGTATTTCTCAGATGATAATGAAAGACAGCACTCTGTCTTAATTATTTATTCCAAATGTTAAGATTTTCCCCAAACTCTAGCACTATCTGAACTCTTAACAAGAAATGTTGGTTATAATTGTTGCCATCTACCAATTTTTCTTCATTTTCATTCTCAGGAAAAAAAAAAAAGGCACCTTTGAAGCTCACACTCCCTGAAACAATTTCTCGTGAGGCCAAGAATTAACCTGGAAAATTTTAATTATAATTTTTAAATTAGAATTATTTAGTTATAAATAACTAAAAGTATGAGCTTATAAAGAAAAGCAACAGGAGTTACTGCTACTAGCTCTTTCAATAATACATGTGATTTAGAAATATAAACCAGCACTTGGCAACGTCTCTTTATTGTTACATGCAGTATATATGGACATTCCATTAATGTAAGGTGAGCATGCCTGTACGTCAAGTCGTTGTTAAGATCCTGTGTGATTTTGCTGATGTCACATGGCTCCATTCGGGGAGATACCAAACACGACGATGCCTTTTTCTGTTACAGGGCTTTAGATCAAGTCCTCGTCATGCTCGAAGACGTGTAGCACCTCGCCTTGAGGAAACACAACCTATAGTGGAAGCTCACCATCTAAGTGAGCAGGAAACTTCTGTGAGAAAAAGAAAAATCAAGAAAAGCAGCCGAGTCCAACCAGAATTTTACCATTCTGTTCAAGTTACCCCAACTCGAAAGCCTGTAAGTATTCTACCTTTAGGGATAAATAGCACTCAAAGTATATTAGAGAGTCATGTGATACAATTCTATTTTTTGGGCTATCCATATTCTGTTCCTCAGTTTAAAAATCTTTTCAGTTTTTATGTTCAGCATAAGAAGAATGTTTTTTGAATCTTGATTTTTTTATTTAATATTCAGTCTACAGTCAATATTCAAATAAGATATTTAATTTGATAGTTTATAGTGATATTAGTAAACAGGTTTTTATAATGCATATGTATGTTATTGAAATTCCTCACTCAGATTTATCAGAGGTGCTATGTACTGAACCCGATTTATATGAAATCTTATTACTAGATCCAATTTTGAGGTCTCTTCTGCTTTATAGAGTATTTATAATCTTTCTGCTCAACAAAACTTAGATGAAGTCTTATCATTGTTAGCTTCTCAACTTGATCTACGTCCAGTTCTATTAATACTGATAATGTCCTTTTTGTGTGGAAATATGACAATTCATTGAAACATACAGTTCCTAATGTAAATGTGCACGAAGACATATTATGTCTTGCAGACATAATGCATTTCTTTTATTAATGAGAGCTCACTGCCTTGATGCATTTTCTGACTAACTTATTTGTGCCAATATGAAGGGGCTTGAACTACTTCTACTAAGTCAGTATTATTAAAATGATATTGAGCATACCCTAAAAAATATTATCTTGGCGCTGCTGCATTCTAACTGAACCCTCCTAGACTGGTGGTAATTGAACACCAAAAAATATCAATGAGGTCTGAAGATAGTTTGAGAAAGCCTTCCTTAGTGGAATTACATTGCCTCAGAGAGAGCAAGAAACTTGTACAAAGAAAAGAAAGCCAGAGCTGCCAACAACTGCTAGAATTTTTACTTATTAGCTGATCCGTTCCACTTCTCTGTTTTCATTCCACTACTCCCCAGTTTCCTCTATTCTCTCATGTTTCTACTTATAATTTATTTTAGAGTGCTCAAGATTCTGTGGTTTAATTTGACCTGATGGATTCATCTTTTGCTCTTCTTAAAGGATCTGATTGTCCTTTCTTCTCAACCATCTCCCTTTCACTCCCATCCTATACCATTTTGTCTAGTTCTGTAATTCTTACTGGGTCTCCAGCCTCCCACCAGGTTCTCCTCTGTTCATTATTCACTTCTGGTCCTCTCCCTGCTTTGTTGTCCTTCTTTAATCTCTTTCATCATCTCCTCTATTATTTTCCATGTCACTCCTATTGGGTTTTTTAATTCTCTTTAAGGTTCAGTTGTTCATAATTTTTTCCATGGTACGCCTATGCTTGCCTGTAATTGCTTAGGCTGTTACTAACTACCACTGATTACCAACATTGGAAAAAGAGCATCAGTGCTGCTGAATTAAAGAGCTAAAACTGTATAAATGGTATAAGCAGCAAAACAGGCTTTGAATAATGGATTATTGAAGCTAAGAAAACCCTGCTTTCCTCCAAAGTCAGTAACACATCAGGAGCTTCAGGACCAGCAAAAGAAAGAAGTGTAAGCATAGAAAATATTCAGTGTTACTGTATAACTTCACCTTCCTCTTATTTCATGTGTCCGCTGTGTCTGACAAGACCTACCACTGAAGCAGTAATAAATCTCAGATTTAGAGAAAACTTCTCTTAGTGCTGTCACCATTATGTCACCTCCTTGAAACTGCTTTTGCAGTGTATCTTTTATGCAGCGTTATACAGTTCTTTTGATAGCCTTTCCTTCTACAGCCTTGATGAACTCACATTTCTACAGAAAAAGAATAAATCATTATCTTTATTAGACTACAATCCAGAAAACTTAAGTCACCAATTTAATTTCTCATGGACATTGTAAGTTATTCTGAATGTATTATTAATGCCATGGTGACAGAGTGAATAAGGTTTATGCCATGACAAATCTCCGCAGCATTGTGAAGTTCCAGGCAATCACAATATCGTCCATCTCACAGTTTGGCACATCTTCATCCCACTTTGTCTCAATGTCTCAAAGCTCAGAGACTTTTGGCCTTCATTTGGCCTTGTAGAGTTTTACATGATTCAGTGCCAGAAACGCTCTTGTTAGTCTGCATAATTTCTTTCTCTTTTTTCCCCCGTTATTCCTAGCTCTGCCCACCTGAACCACTTTAAATAAATCATCTGTTGTCTTGAAGTTTATATTACAGAAATATTTGTAGGCAGGTATGGCCATATTCTGCTTACTCATCACTTGAAAAAATGATGTATGATGTCTGCTAACCAGAAGACAGTTTCTCCTCATGAAACAGTTTTCAGTTTTGTTTTCCCCCTACTCATGCCTTTTTGTCCCTATTTTCTGAAAAGAAAAGTATCTCCAAAGTAACTATAAAACAGTCTTCTGGAAAGCTTTTTCTTTGCTCCAGGAAATTTTTGAGTAATCAATCCGAAAATATGTTAGCCTGCTTTGTTGCTATATTAAGATGTATGCTTAAAGACTTTTTAAACATTTCATGAAAAGTTTTGGTGGGTGTTTAGATGCTGGGTTTTCTTATTCCTGCTAATTTACACTATTTTGTATTTGTTTGATTTTGTTGTGCCTAAGTCTTGTTTTTCAGTTTCCTGGCTGGTGCTATAATTATCTGAATTTGCTTGTATTATTTCTCGCTTCCTGCATAGCAATCTGAGATCTTTCCAGCATAGTCCCTGATCTCGTCAGAACTAAATTAGGTGTAATTGTGTGGATGGGAGTAATCCCGCTGAAGACAATAATTGCTCCCCTTGAAAATCTGCATAAGCAGATGTTTGCAGAAATAAACTTTAGTTTTCTCTGAAAATTTCATTTTTTTTTTACACCTTCCAGGTCATTAAATACATTTTGTGCTAATACCAATTCTTACTGTACAGAGTTTATAGCCATTTTCACTTTTACTCATCTTACTTGGTGCAACATGAACATAGTGCTGTGAAGGTTACCCCTTTTAGGGCACATTGTTCTATTTTGTGCCCTGTAGGTCACCCTCTCATTGGTGGCTGCATTCTTTGTGCTGATATTCTCTATAGGTGACAGTTTTACATCAGCTTCGCACTGAGGAGAGTAAAGACACATATTACTGGAGCGTGCTTTGAGTTTTTGAACACAACAGAGAACTCTTGAGAAGAAACACACCTGCATTCTTTAATTTAGCATGACTTCGTGCAAGTCAAAGGAGTGTTATATATCACTCCTTTCATGAATTGGGTAGCTGACTCTGTAAAGGTAGTTAAATTTTCTGAGGGTGTGGAAGGATGTGCAAAAGTCTCCTGTCATGAGCTTGCTGCTGCATAGCAATACTTCTTCAGGGCAAATTTTAAACTGAGGGTTCTATTACAAGCATTTTGCAAATCTTATCCTTGTTTTAAATAGTGGTCTGCTCTGAAGCAAAAGTATAAGACTCTGCAAATTATTAACATTTCTCTCCCCCACACCTTGTGCTGGGCTGGAACAAAAGATGGCCTTGAGTTTGTATAAACAAATCTGGCTCCTGAGCTGTGGAGTCAGGTAGGCATATAGTTCTGCCAAATTCTAATTTCACCTGTATGTCTACAAACATAGTGGAAAAGAGATGCCATCAAAGCAGCATCTTCTGATATCTCCATTGTTAAACAGTTTGAAGGGCTCCTAAACTGCCCAACTCATGCAGTCATCAAGGATTATTTAAGATCGTGACATGTATCAAAATTTACACTTGTGTTTGTCATAACAAGGTCACTGTAAGATGTGCATCAGGTGAGACTACAGAGATTGGTGTATAAATAAATTTGGTTGCTTACTTTCAGATGTGAAATCCCTGTTTCTTCTCAAAGCCCTGTACTTTACACATCCAGAGTTATTGGTCTATTGTGCCCCTGAAGTGTAGCAACAGCATATATTGAGTGGATTATCTATGGAATAGTGTTTAAAAAAGTATCTCTGAAGTAACCTACAAAGAATAAACTGATGACAAATAATGATCTCAGAAGCACTGATGCTTGCAGGTATCCCTTGGGGTTTTTAATTAACTAAAGACTGACCTTTGCTGCAGCAATTTAACTCCTTAGGGGTGGGTGCAGCATTGCTACAGGTCGCTACATGGAAACCTGAAGGAGGTCAGATGTCTCGGAGGTCATATGTAGAGAAAAACAACCGATATGAGCAGCTTCATTTGGCTCCACTGCGGCTACTCCCAAGGTAGCTGAAGTGAAACTTTCAGTGTAAAGACCCTGTTGAAGAAACCATGAAAGCAAAGCTAAATCAGTTTTTAATGCATGTAAAGCCATGAGTGGTCCCATTCATGGTCTTATTCAGCTATCCTGGTTTTTGCTTTTATGTGTTTAAGCCTTAAAACGTAGGGGAAAACCAGTATTACAATTCTGTATAAAAAACACTTTGGAGTTTTTTTTAAACATCTGATACCAAATAATTTATAGAAGAATTCCAGGTGTTAGTTGACACTTAACCTACCTGAGATGAATTATTTCACGTGGATGAAGTTGTTCTAGAGGGCTTTTTAGAAGGTTTTAATATGTCTCATTAAATAATCACTATTTCATTTTGTTAATTTCCTTTTATTCTTACTCTGCTGTTATTTACTAGTTTTCCAGTATCATGTGTCCTATTTCAATGACCTAATAGAGACGACAAGCAAATATTACCCATCACCCTGCACAAGACTTGGTTAATTCCAAGTGTTACCTATTTAATCTATAGATTGCATTCATATCATCTTTCTTTTGGAGACATCTGCTAGTGTTGGATTTTGTCTCCTGCAAATTGCATTTAGAAGCAAACTTGGCAAAACATTATCATACCATCTTTCACTTTCAGCATTTTTCTTAACATGATGCTGGAAAGCAGTGCCACAGAAAGGGACCTGGGGATCCTGGTAAACAGCAAGTTGAATCTGAGTCAGCAGTGCCCTGACAGCCAGGAGGGCCAACCGTGTCCTGGGGGGCATCAGGCAAAGCATGGCCAGCTGGTTGAGGGAGGTGATTGTCCCTCTCTGCTCTGCACTGAG